AACAACAACAACAACAACAGTGGCTATAGGCTTCAACCGCTAGCCTTTAGTTATCAGTCAACTCACTTAGCCACCCTGCACCAGGGCCCCCTCACCACTCCCTATCCATACTCTAGGAAGTTCTGGTAGCCTATTGAGTTGGAATTGTGCTCCTAAGCTAAAGGCAAGGAGTTCACAAGCTGTTCCACAAAGAAAGATGAGCAATCGCCTCCTGTGTGATTTACAGCCTCTGAAAACCCACTAGGTCAGCTATCAGTCAATCCCAACTCGACAGCATATAATAAAACAATAACACAATCACCATGCACAATCACTAATGACAGTCCGTAGGGAGTTGTGCAGTGAAACCAATGGTGGGACCTCTTTGGAAGTTCAAAGCACCAGCAGCACTACAGGAGAAAGACGGACAATCTCCTCCCGTGTGATTTACAGTATCAACCTAGTGAAGGGTCAGCTGGTTAGATAATAAGTGAACTATAGAAAACACTAACCAGTTGCTAAAGCATCAAGGTAGAAATGTACACTAGACTTTTCAATGACTGATTTTGCAGATGCATCTCACCAGGCTTTTCCTGATGCACTTACGGATTAATAGTCAAGCACTTAACTGTCAGACCCACCCAGGGACTCCAATTGTGCTTATGTTCCCCTGCCTCCCTGCAATTCTACTCCTATTCTTGTGTGTGTTGTGGTCCATTGCCATTTTAGTCAATTCCAACTCATGGCATCCCCATGTGCTTAAAGAGCAAGGGCTGCGTGGAGATGGCCATATCTAACCTTTACAAACTTCAAGCAGGGGAACCGTCCCCATCAACAATGCCAACAACACAAAACCAAATCCCCCACAATCCCACATCTCTTTCTACTCATCCCAACACCAATCTTACTGCTTTACTACGTCCAAAATCCTATGCAATCACCCACAGACCATATGAAACCACATCAGGGAACTAAAAAGCTGTAATTCAGATTGGTAGCAGAATACAGTCAGGACAGCTTCCAAAATGTGCTCACAGGCACCTCAACCTTGAGCCTCATGGCTTTAGGCCAATGTGACAAGCAGTCAATTATGAAAAATGCCTGCCAATTATAGCTATAGCCCTCCAGCAACAGACTTCCAAAACTTGGCAAAAAGCTCTCAGCTCTGGCTCAAGAGCATAGGAGTCCTAAGGTCAGTGCCATCTCACATGAGGTCTCAGGCTCTCCACAGTGGCTGCTATGGCTGCTGCTCTCGCAGGCCCCAGTCTGGTTGACAGAAAAATCTCAGCCTGGAAGGATGCTTTGAATTCTCTTGCTTCTTCTTTCCTGGTAGTGAAGTTTCTCCAATTCTGCTGCTAGATTTGTTCAATTTAAAAGCAAGACTAGCAGTCCCCTTATGGATAGGTTAACACACTCTATTTGCATATTCCCACTCATCCACATGGCAAGGTAAGTCAATGGACAGAGAAGTCATTTTGAAGAATAAATCCTTAACACCCATATCATGTGTATAGAACAAAACTTCACCATTGAATAGAACTGCATCATAGAGTTTGAAGGCTGTTACCTTCACAATACTCTAGTGTTCATGTTTTATTGCTCTATAAGACCATTTCCCCTACTACATGGTGTGATACAATGGACTGATCAAAATGGCTTTCCTAGCCATTAGCATTGACTTTCACCACATGACTATGCTAGTGATACGAATGAGGTTAATAGCACCTTTTGGAGAATAACAAGGTACACAACTAATGAGGGGACTGGTCTGTTTTGCCATCCCACAAGGTTTAAGTTGAGTGGGGTCAGGCACAGAAAAAGGAGCCTGTCATTATTAATAAGAAAGAAGTGAGAATCCACTATGCATCCATTTGAACCAGAAATTCCTACATGAGTCAAACCTGAACCTATAGGAGAGCAGCAACAGTAATAACAGCAACAGAAAAGTAAGAGACTGAAATGAGATAGAGCTGAACTGGTACTACCACTTCAGGGATCCAAGAGTTAGGGGACTTCTCTCAGGATTGTTGGATGACTTTTGGGACAGGGGCATGGCACAGGACTTAAAGAGCTTTGTAACAAACTCACAATGCTAAGGTCAGCAAGCCTTCAAGCATGCCTGAAAAGCTGTACTGGAAGAATTGTTCCCTGTTACCTGAATTTTAATCTATTAACTTCCTCTATAAACTGTGTAACCATGATCTTTGCCTGTGAGATCTATGTGGCCACTGAAATGGATTATAATAGTAAGAGCCCTGGGAGGAATAGTGTTTGAATTGATAGAAGTAGGTTCAGGGGACATATCACATCTCACAGGAATTTGTTTTATACTGTGGACATTGCGGATGGGGACTCTTACTCTTGTGTCGTTAGTAGAAATCAATATATCCATGCTAGCTGCTCTATTTTTATAGATGGTGCGCTACTTTAGGTATAGCTAAAAAGACTTGATTAAATGGAATTTAAATTGAGATACAAAGAGAAACTAGAGAATTTAACACAATTTAGTTCATATTTAGGGAGCTCTGCAGTGGTGGCTTAGTGATAAGAAGTTACACTGGCCACCCAGAGGCAAGCAGGTCAAATTTACCAGCTGCACCAAGGGAGAAAGAGGGGCAATCTCCTCCCATGCAACTTACTGCCTCTGAAAACCCAATAGAGTGTGAATCAGTTCCAACTCAATGGTATATAACAACAACAATAGTGCATATCCATTGTCCAATCTAGTTCATATTTATTATTCATCTTCAAATGCATAATAAGCTATTGAAAATATCACGGCCTGACACAAGCCCTTGGCATTTTCAATTGCTTTCCATGTATCTGAAAGTTGAACAATGAATAAGGATAGCAAGAGAGCTAATAAATGTCTTTGAATTCCGTGTTTGTGAAGAATAGTGATTATACCATGCACTGCCAAAAGAATAAACAAGTCTGTCTTAGAGGAAGTACAACCAGGGTGCTCCTTTGAGGCAAAGATAATGAAATTTCATCTCATATACTTTGGGCATGTTGTCAGAAAGGGCCAGTCATGCAAGGCAAGGTAGACGATCTACGAAAGAGGTGGTCTCTCAACAAGATGGACTGACCCAGTGACTACAACAATAGGTCTGAGCATGGCGCAGAACAATTTAAAGACTAAGATGTTGAAGCTGATCCAAGTCATGGTCTTTTCAACGGCTTCCTATGCACCTGAAAGATGGACAATGAATATGGATGACTGAAGAATAGACATTATTTTATTGTTGTCCTTGCTAGATGCTGTCGAGTACAACTCACAGCGACTCTATGAACAACAGACCTGAATCCTGTCTTATCATGTACCATCTGCATAATTGGTGATACACTTGAGCCGACTGCTGAAGTCACCATGTCCATAAACCAGGGTGGGGAGGTCTTCTTCTGTTTTGTTAACCCTCCACATTTCCAAGCATGATATCTTTATCCAAGGATAGCCTCTCCTAGCAACACGTCCAAAGTATGAGAGAAGCAGCTTTGCCATTCATTCCTGCTTTCAAGAAGCACGATGGTTCTACCTTTTCCATGACAAACCTGCTAGTTCTTTTGGCAGTCCACTGGATAGTCAATACTTTTTTTCCAACACCACAACTCAAAGGCATCAATTCTTCTTCTGTCATCTTTATTCATGGTCAAGCTCTCAGAAGCATAGCAAGTAATTGAAAAGACTATGGCCTGAATCAGGTGCACCTTAGTCTTCAACCTGACATCACTGCTCTTTAATATTTGGGGAATCACATAATCAGATAAATATTACCTTTAAGCAATTTATAAACATATTTATTGTGCATTATTCTGAATAATTAAAATGGATGATTAGCCTTCCTAAAGATTCTGTATGGCCTGGTACAGGAGATGGCCACGGGCTGAAGTGGGGGGAGTGACATGATGACATGATGACACCACTGCTCCCAATCTGGTTGTGAATAACTGCCTCGTGTAAAAACAAATAATATTAAAAAACAGGGCCACCTGCATAGTCTAAGAATTGTTAACTCAGGAGTGTTTCCAACGTATATACTTTAAAATGAATCCTTTCATTAAGAGTCTATCAGTGGTTCGAGATCTTACACTGTTGACGGAATCAAAGGTTTCACTCTCCAGGCAATAACTGCAGCAGTAACAACTGTCAGCTTGGTCGAGAGAGTTCAGGGTCTCGGGACTTCAGGGACGCTCTGCACACTCGGAGGGGCGGGGACAGTTGGCGGGAAGAGCAAGAAGAAACCAGGTGTCCCCAAAATATCCCGAAGGAATCTCTAGGGGAAAAGGTTGGCGAGGCCAGCACCCGGACGCAGAGGGCCGGCCGGAGGGGAGTGGTCACGTCGAAACGGAAAACTTTCTGCAAGAGACGGGTTGAGTCCATGAACCTGGCCCGAGTGCAGGGCAGGGCGTCCCCCAGGCCGAAGCCCGGGCCGGACCCTGACTCCTTACCGTCCTGCAGAAGTTCCCGGACAGTCTCTGCACCCGCTCCGGAGCCCAGAGCCCTAAGGCCAGGGACGGCGACGCCGCCGTCGCCACCTTCCATGTTGGCAGGCACCGCGCTGATGACGTCACGGGGACCGGGCCAGATGATGACGTATAATTCCAGCGCCGCACGCTCCCGGGTCCACCTTGCCCCGCCGGCCTGGCGACTGGACTTGGCTGCCGTGGCTGTGCAGAGTGTGGCGGGACCCAAGTGGGCACCGGGGGGCCAGGCAGGTGCCGACAGCCTAATTGCACGGGGGAGGCCGCGACCACCCGGCTGGAGCGACCCGCCGCAGCTGCTAGCCCCGGCATAGCTGCCCCGACCGAAGAGGTGGACGCCGGGCGTGACCGCCGAACTCTTCTCTAAAGCAAGTATTAAACCCAGACGAATGGGGTCTGACGACGGAAGACAGGCAGGGAGGATGAAGGTTGCGGGGGCTTCTCTCGCACTCACAGCAGGCAGGAGGAGGTGGTTACGACCCAGCTTCTCTGTCATAGGCATTGGCACACACTCAATCCTAGAGTATCAGGAGGGCGGGGAAAGTTGGAGAGGATAAAAAGTGAAGACAATTTGGAAAGTTGCTGAAAAGTAATACTCAATCTCTGTACTCCCTTGAATTTTGTTTTAAATTGTTGCATATTTTCTTCCCTCCCACTCCACCACCCCTACCCTGCAAAGACCCCCTTGCTCTCATACTTGGAACTCTCTTGAAATCTTAACCGTGTGCTCTTTGAAAAGTCAAGTTAAACATCAAAATAAACCTATTACCCATGATGTTCCCCAGGCTCTAAACGTTTATGGCAGAAGACTGCCTCATTTTTTCACCCCTCGACCAGCTGGTGGATTATCTTGGCTGCTGCATCTGCGTTATTGATGGTATTCTAGATTTCGCCCAGTAAAAATTGAAGGAAATGATACTATTGTAATTTCAGCTCAGAAATCTCAGCTATGACAGCCCTGACCAGAGTAGCAAATGCCATGAGCATTCTGCTTGCACTGTCCTTTGTATACAAAGCCAGTTGTATATAAGGTTCCAGTCCTATGTGATTGAGTCAATTCTGACTCCAGCCAGCCCTGTAGGACAGAATAGATCTTCACCATAGAGGTTCTAACACCTTAATCTTTGCAGAAGAAGAAAATCTTCTGTATTGGGAATGTCTGCTGTCAGAGACCTCTGCAAAGTACTGAGGAGCAGTGAAGTAAATTTAAATACTAAAGTTCACCTGATTTGAGCCATAGTCTTGTCCGTTTTTTCCTATATGTGTAAGAGCAGAACAATGAATAAAGATGACAGAAGATTTGATGCCTTTGAGTTGTGATATTGGGGAAGAGTGCTGAATATCCCATGGACTGCCGATGTGTCTTGGAGGAGGTGCAGCCAGAGTACTCTTCAGAGGCAAGGATGGCGAAGTTTCATCTCCTGTTTTGGTCTTGTTATTAAGAAGGGAAAATGGACACCATGCTAGGAATAGGAAAGATGGAAAGTCAGTAAAGAGAACAACATGGATTTGCACAGTGACATCCTCAACAGATGGATTGACACAGTGACAATGCCACTGCACATTGAGCCCATTGCAAAATTGCTCTCATGTCAAAGATGATACAAAACAGACAGGGTTCAGATCAAAATTCATAGGGTTGCAATATGTCATACTTGACTAGACAGCACGGGACAACTCCATATGCCCGCTACCCCCAAAACAGAGTGACTCTGGTCTTTTAGTTAGTTAACCAAGCTTTTCAACCACTGTGCTACCTGGCATCCTTTATAATATGTTAGTGCACGCTGGTTTTGAAATGTACTGTCCAGTCAAGTAGGACTCATCATAACCCACTGAACAAACAGATCTGAACCCTTGTCTTATCCTGTGCCATCCTCATTGTGTCTGACAATACTTGAGCTCATTGCCACAGCCACTGTGTCTCCCTGAGCATCTTTCTCTCTTGATGATGTTACCTTTCCAAGCATGGCCTCCCTTTCCGAGGAGCATGCCCAAAGTATGTGAGACAAAGTTTTGCTATCCTTACCTCTCAGAAGCACTCTGATTGCACTTTCTCTGAGACATACTCTTTTGTTCTTTTGGCAGTCCATGAGATAGATATTCAGTATTCCAATGCTGCAACTCAAAGGCACCGATTATTCTTTTGTCATCCTTATTCATAGATAAGTTAAATTCCCTGTTTACAAAGAAAAATTTTCTGAATCACTCTGTGTATAGTTTACATCCAATCTCTTGAAGCGTGTTTGTTTGAGTGTTGTAGCATTATTTCTGTCATGTTCTTTAGAACATATTAGCATGAAGTGCTTCATGGTTTCCAAATGCAGCAAAAACCCTGCTTGTGATAGCCACAGCAAAACAAGAGAGAACTATTGATTTGCAAGTGAATCAAAAGATTAGGGGGGGAAAACCAAACACAAAAGTGTAAAATTAATTCATGCTCTTGCTTGTGATTTAAACCTGCTCACAACAGTGTCCAAAAGAGTTAATACCCTATTTCATAGAACACATGAGCAATAAACAACATCTGAGTGTATTGGTAAATGAGTAGATCTACTCCACATATGTAAGAGGACCTAATAATTTCCAAATAAAATTTTAAAACTACACTTTTTCATTTATGTAGAGTCGTTGTTGTTGTTGTTGTTGTTGTTATATGTCATCAAGTTGTTTGAGGCTCATAGCGACCCTATATGTACAACCCCAAACCCTACTCTATCCTTTGCCAATCTTACTGTCTCTGACACACCTATCCCCATTACCCTAGTGACAGAATCAATCCATCTCATCAAGGATCTTTCTCTCCTGTGCTATCCCTCCACCCTCCCAACTATGATGGCCCACTCCAAGGACTGATCCCTCCTTGCAACATGTCCAAAGTATATCAGATGGAGCTTCAGAATCCTTCCCTTCAAGGAGCAGCCAGGCTTCATCCTCTCCAGAGTGAACTTGTTTGTTCACCTAGGAGTCCATGATCTATTCTATACTCTTCTCCTGCACCAAAGCTCAAAGGTATCAACTCTCCTATCATCCCTAATCATTGTCCAGCTCTCTGATGCGTACCAAGTAATTGCAAAGGCCATGGCCTGTAACAGGTGCACCTTAGTCTCCAGACTGACATCGTTGTTCCTCAGTACCTTGGAGAGGTCTCTGACAGCAGACTTTCCCAATGCAATTTGTCTTTTAATTTCCTGGCTCCTGATACCAAGAGTGTTGATTATAGAGCCAAGCAAACTGAAGCTGTCAACAATCTAAATCTCTTCATCATCTACCATGATGCCTCTCAGTCCAGTGGTGAGAATCCTTGTTTTCTTGATGTTGCACTTCAATCCTTATTGAAGGCTATAGTCCTTGACCTGCAGCAAACAATTCAGGTCCTCCTCAGTTTCAGCAAGCAGGGTTGTGTCATCTGCATAACGCAGATTGTTGATGAGTCTACCTCCAATCCTAATGTCACACTTCTCTTCATAGAGCCCAGCCTCCCAGATAATCTGTACCACATATAGATTGAAAAGATATGGACATAGGACATTTCCTTAACACACACCCTTCCCAATTTGGAGCCATGCAGTGTCTCCTTGCTCTGTTCTGACGCCTGCCTCCTGGTCCAAGTAAGTTTTGCATAAGCACAATCAAGTGTTCTGGAATTCCTGTTCTTCTCGGAGTCAGCCACAGTTTGTTGTGACCCACACAGTCAAATGTCTTTGCAGAGTCAGTGAAACACAGACATTCCTCTGGTACTCCCTGCTTTCAGCCAAGATCCATCTGACATTAGCTATAATATCCCTAATGACAAGGCCTCTTCTACCTCTCTTCACCTTACTTTCATGTGGCATTTAAGATGCTTATCCTCACCCTTCTTAATATCATTTTTCAGGTTTGTCCTGCCCAGCTCCTGATGTAATCTGTCTCCGTTTTCTTTGCATTTTTTTCCCCTCTATTATTTAAATGTTGATCATTCCAACAATTTTTGTTGTTGTTGTTGTTGTTGTGTGTCATCCCTGGACTGCCAAAAGAACAAACATGTTTGTTTTGGAAGAAGTGCAGCCAAGGATGGTGAAACTCCATCTCATATATTTTGAACGTGTTGTTAGAAACTGCTAATCCTTAGAAAAAGACACTATGCAAAGAGGTGGAGGATTAGAGAGTGGAAGACCTTCAACAAGAGAGGTTGACAGTGATTATAATGGTAGGCTCAAACATACTGGAGCTCAGGAGGATGGCACTGGGTCGGGCAAGAAAGGTTTAGATCTGTTGTTCACACAAGATAGGGCAAGGAAAGTCACTATGAATCAATCAACTTAGTGGCACACAACAACAACAAAAGGTACCTTATGCATGCTTTTCGTTTTCAATTTATTACCTAAAGGCTAAAGTGCCTCCCTGTATGTCTCCAGCTTTCTCCTTTAGTTCTGTGTCTGTACAACCACTTTATGAGGGATTACCTCCAGGTCAGTGTGCTTCAATGTCTCTCTTCCAAAACCTGTTCATTCCATAATTCATCATCTCATTGGTTGGCAGTGCTGTCCACCTAGTCTTTCAAGCCAAAACTGAACAAGTCAGTGCAGAATCCTTTGTTATTTCATAACATGTATTATTATTTCTGCCTCCTAAATATCTTAACCAAAGAGCCCTGGCATTAGTTAGTTACATGCTGAACTTTGAAACAAAAAGTCAGTGGTTCAGATCCACCAGCTGCCCCACTGGATTAAGATGAGCAGGCTCCTCCCATAAAGATTTATTGTCTCAGAAACCACTGGACAGTTGCTATGCATTGGAAGTAAGTCAGTAAATACTCATGGGCGAATGATTTCTAAATAGCTCCTAAATGTGTTCTCTTTTCTCTGTCTTCATCGTAGTGTACCCATTGCTGTCATCATCATTGTAATGTGCTGTCAAGTCTGAACCAACTCATAACTGACCACCCCTAGCCTTCCCCCAGTGGCTATTTTTATACATTGCACTGGAGGAGATTCTCCAACTTTGTCCTGCAGAGCAGCTGGTGAAATCAGACTGGCTGCCTTTAGGTTGTGAGAGCAGCTTCTTACCACTAGGCAACCAATACAGACCCTTGTTGTTCATGATCTCAGCTACTATATGAAGTTCCTTGCTGATGTTTTGCCATCAGCCACAACCCATCTACTCACATCTTTCTCATCAGAAGTAAAAGGTCATTTCACTAGTAGTAACATGCCACAGATGGGGTAGAGTTAACTAGTAGAAAGAGGAGGTCTGTATAGCCTATAAAAAGAGAAATATACTCCTGCAAGTTAGTTATAGATACACATTAGCATGTCGTATACATATATAAATATCACCCATGGAAGAACAAAAGTGGTAAAGAGCCAAGACCATATAGTATAAAATCTTAAATATATATTAATTCAACAGATCTAATTCTCCTCCTGTTCTCTCTGGTCTAGTCGCAACTTACGACACAGTTGAACTACTTCTAGTTCTTCAAACCATTAAGTAATCGCTGTGGTTTTATGTGTGGTGTTTCTGTAACCAGACACCCCATCTCCCACACACTGTCAGTTCTTGCTTGCCATCTTTGATGATTTCCTTCACTTAGCACAATGTGTTTCTTGCTCTCTTCCTCTGTTTTTACACAAACACATGTATTCATTAGAGTTCCTTACTACAAGGAACTTTAATGAGGCAATGGTTACAATGCTTGACTGCTAACTAAAATATCAGCAGTTTAAACCAACCCATGACTTTGTGAAAGAAAAGACCTATGATCTACTGCTGTATAGGCTACCCTGTTCAACTCTATTATAGAGTGTTGCAATGAGTTGAAATCGTTTCCATGCCAAACAAAAGCTATTGCATTGTTTTGTGAGCTCCATAATTTTTTTTTATTTTATTATTTGTGTGTGTGCGTGTACCGTCAAATCAGATCTGACTGGTACAGGAGGAGACTGTCCCTCCTTCCCCGGCACAGCATCTGGTGGATTCGAACCGTGCGCCTCTGGGGTTGCAATGCCGCTTCTTGCCACTAGGCTGCCAGAGCTCCCCGAGCTCTGTAATTTTTGAAGGTGCAGGAAATCTGTTTTTATTTGTATACCTAGCATAGCAGAAGCTCAATATTTGCTGAATGAATAAATGATGAAATAAAAAAGCACATGTCCATACCCTTGAAAACTTCAGAGGAAGGGCATATGTGTTCTTTTTATCATCAATATGTTTAAAAAAACAATTGCAAGTGTAAATGATACAATAGCAGGTATATCTCAAAAGTGGTAGGTAAGGTAAGATAATAATATCTGGGATTCAGAGAAAGTCTGTTGGAGTCATTATGGTAAGAGACGAATCAGAGACTGGAACAATTAAGATGTGTTCAGTATTTGGGAAAGGTATCACTTGGATAAACCATTGTGGGAGACAGAGAAGTCTGAGGTAGGACCCAGTTTTCTGACTTGGGTAGTATGGGCTGATGGTAAAAGCATAACAAGGAGATGAAATGCAGAAGAGAAGAATAGATTTGACTCATGTCAAGTAAACTCTTTTCTACTCTTTATTTGTTATTTGTGTAAGTGGCTTAGTTCTTCCAGTCATGAGTTTTCATTTAAAAAATAACAAGAAACTAAATAAATTTTTTATTAAGTCAGACTGATTACCTAAATTCATCACTTGTAGCTTTGGGCTATAACAAAAGATTAACTATACATTTGCATGATCACAATTGAAATTTTCATTTAACAATACCACATTCAGACTTTTAAAAAAATACCGAAGTGTCTTGGTTATGTTTTTGCTTTCTGGTTTATAGATACAAAGAATGGATTTGAGAATAATGATACACACAACAGGTTATCCTTTACAATACTGACTACTTAAAAGTGTTCTGCTACTGTCATTTAACTTTGCTACACAAATCGAGATATTTTAGAGTTCCAGACATATACAGTATTATAAATGAAATGATTAAAAGAAAATTTCTTGGTTTAATAATGCCCCAAAAAGTAAATGGAAAGTTCAGAATTAACATGACAAAAGTCATAGGATGGTCTACAAGAAAGAAAATAGTGTTTTCCTCTATCTTGAGCATTCATTTCTTTGAACAGAAAATGCTACTGCAATGTATTGATGTTGAAACTTTGTGTTCCACATGCACTGCCATCATTTGTACATATGCAGATTGTTACAGTATGTTAAAAACTAACAGTGACTTATAAATAGAATTACATTGTATTTGACACTGCAAAAAAGGAGCTTACCAAAATGTTCTGGAGCCTACAAGCCTAATTAGGAAAATGGGATCATTAGAATGATGTAAATTCATCCAGTTAAAGTATATTTTCTTTATGCAAACTGATAACTTTTTCAGATTTAAAACAAAGCTGTATTCATGAAAAGTGACTGCATAAAACCTGTAACGTGCGAAGAAAGAAAAAAGGATCCAATTGAATTGTTTCACTCTGGACAGCTAGTAAAAGTTTGTGCCCCAATGGTTCGATATTCAAAGTAAGTTTTAAATGTCTAATGATCTGGAATGTGATTTCTTTTTTATGTTTCAACTTTTTAAAAAATGCTGGGAATAGGAACTTACCACTTTTTTGAATGCTCTGCTTAGGAACCATGTTATAGACTTGAGTCCTGGTACTACATTTGTCTGTATGTTTGACTGTGTCTCCAAGATTCATTTTTCACATTTGCTAAAATGGGAGGGGGTGGTTATAACTCCCACTTTTAAGGACATACCAAACCAAAAACCCACAGCCGTCGAGTCAGTTAATTTCTTTTTTCCCCCTTTCTTTTATTATTCTTGTGTGTGTACCATCAAATCAGATATGACTGTCACAGGAGGAGATTGTCCCTCCTTCTCCAGCAGAGCATCTGGTAGATTTGAACCGTGCACCTCTGGGATTGCAGTGCAGCTTCCTGCCACTAGGCCACCAGAGCTCCCAAGTCAATTCATTTCTGAATCATGGACAGTGCTCTTTCAGGACAGTATAGAACTAGACCAGGGGTTTTCAAAGAGGCAGTAAATCTTTGTCACAAATTTCCACTTCTGTCTCCCATGACATGTCTGATGAGTTCAAAGCACTGGCATATTTTTATTTGCAAGAGTGCCTTGACAGCTGCATTAGCAGGGCTCCTTATAAAGATATATTGTCAAGACAGTCCTGTCTCAAGCAACCCTGTGAATGACACAACAAAGCACTGCCCAGTCTTGTGCCATCCTCACAGTTGTTGCTGTGTTTAAGCCCATTGTTGAAGCCTCTATGTCAGTTCAGCATCTTGAGGGTCTTACTCTTTTTTGTTGATCCTCTACCAATCCTGATGTCCTTTAGGGATGGGCCGGCCCCACCTGCTAGCATACCCAAAATATGTGAGACAAATTCTCACTTATCTTTTAAGGAACATTCTGCCTGTAATTTTTCCGAGACAAATTTGTGTGTTGTTTTTTTAATTTTTTTTCTTTCTTTCTTTTAATTTTTAATAATTTTTTTTTTCATTAGTGACCATTTTCTTCCCCACCTTGCCACCCCCTCCCTGAGCCCACCGCATAATGCACCTTGTTCCAAATTGGTGTCATACATATAATGCTTAATCATAAATTACTTTCAGACAGTTCTTTCCCTCATCTGTTCTATTGCAGTGTTCATTAACTCTTCCCTTTCTCTCCCCAACCCCCACCCCCATGTCTGTCCTAATTTTGGTGTAAGGCAGTATTGATCCTTTTGTGAATGAGATATTTCACTTAGCATAATGTGTCCCCCAGGCTCACCCATGTTGTGTAATGTTTTATGAGTTCTTGTTTTTCAATGCTGTATAATAGTCCATTGTGTGAATGTACCACAGTTTTTCTGTCCATTCATTTGTTGATGGGCACTTGGGTTGCTTCCATTTAATTGTTATTGTGAATAACACAGCCGTATACAGGAGTGTGCATGCGTCTTTTTGAGTCATGGCTCTGGTTTCCTTAGGTTATATTCCCAGTAGTGGAATTGCTGGGTCATATGGTATTTCTATGGACAACTTTTTCAGAAATCACCAGACCACATTCCATGCAGTGAATAAGAGTTCCAATCTCTCCACAACCTCTCTAGCATTTTCTAGCATGTTGTTTTCTGCCCTGTTGAACTTTGCTGTTGTTCCTGGGATGAGATGCTGTCTCTTCATTGTTTTGATTTGCATCTCTCTGATAGTTAGGGATTTTGAACATTTCTTCGTGTGTTTCTTTGCCCTCTGAATGTCTTCTTTGGTGAAGTGTCTGTTCATATTCTGTGCCCATTTTGTGATTGGATTGTTTACCTTTTTCTTGTTGGAGTATTCTGTAAATTTTAGATATAAGTCCCTTATCAGATATGTAATTGCTAAATATTTTTTCTCAGACTATGGATTTCCTTTTTACCCTGTTGGAGAAACTTTTTTATGTGCATAGGTATTTATATGTATTTTATTCTCGCCTGATTGTGGATTTTTCATTATGCTTGAAAGACTGTTCATGCTGTGAATTAGGGCTGCGAGAGTTGTTCCTAGCTGATTTGTGTATTCTTCTGATCACAACCTGTTGCCATAAAGTTGGGATCAATTCATAGCTGACCATTCATTGAATTTATGAGGCTGTAAATTCCATGGGAGAGGATTTCACATATTTCTTCTCAAGAGCTGCAGGTGGATTTGAACTGCCAGAGAGGTTCAGCCTTTGGGTTAGCAGAGCAACTCCCTATAAATCTTGCCACCAGAGTTTCCCTCATTTTTTTCATGTTATATTCAATGATGTCTTTACCCACTCTACAATTCACAGTATTCATTCTTCCTTACCGTCCAGTTTTCATGTGAATATGAGACTATTGAAAATCCTATGGCTTGGATCAAGTGCACCCTAGTCCTCAAGGTGACTTTACTTTTTAAAGTGGCCTTTGGGAGCAGGTTTGCCCAATGCAGTACATTATTTAGTCTCTTTAATTGCTTCTGCTTTGAGTGTTGGTTGTGGTACAGATCACATGAAATCCTTGACAACTTCAGTCTTTCTTCTTGTTATCATGATGTTATTTATCAGTCCAGTTATTTAGGAATTTTGTTTTATGTTAAGATGTACTGAATACTGTGGCCTTTGATTTTCTTCAGTCAGTACTTCAAGTCTTCTCTAACTCAGTGAGCAAAATTTTGACATTTCGCTATCTGAATGAGTCTTCCTCCAATCCTGATGCCATTGTCTTCTTGATAAAGTCCAGCTTCTTGAATTATTTGATCAGCATATAGATTAGTAGGTATAATGAAAGGATGCAACTTTAACACTTACTTCTCTTGTTGTAAAACCACACAGTATCCCTATGTTCTGCTCGATTACTCTTAGTTTTTGTGTGCAAGGACTTTCTGCATTGGCACAATTAAGTGTTTTGAAATTCCCATCCTTTGCAATGTTCTCAGTAATTTGTTATGATCCACATGGCTCAATGCCTTTGCATTGTCAATAAAACATTATATAAGCATCTTTCTGGTATTATTTGCTTCAGCAAGATCTATCTGATATGAGCAGTGATTTCTTACATTCCAAGTCCTCTTCTGATCCAATTTGAATTGCTACTAGTCCTCTGTGTGCTGCTGCAATGAATTTTTAATAACTCTTGGCACAGTTTTACTTGCATGTGATATTATTAATATTGTTCAGTTATTTCCACTTTCTGTTGGATCACCTTCTTTGAAATGGACACAAATGTGAATCTGTTCCAGTTTCTTGACCAGGTAGATGGCTTCTAAGTTTCATGGCACAGATAAAGCTCCTTTAGTGCTGTACCCATTTGTTGAAACGTATTCCAGTCAATCTTTAGAGCTTTGATTTCTCCCCCCCGCCCTTAAAAAAACCAAATACACAATGCTTTCCATGCAGGGTGGATATTTTCTTTCTGTGCCATTGGTCCTTTATCATTTACCACTTCTTGAAATGGGTGACTGTTGACTACTTCTTTTGGTACAGTGACCTGTCTGGCAAAGCCCATGTATGTAGTCACTATTTAAGTTGTTAGAAAAGGACTTTGCTGTGAATAAGTAGACTATATATGGTTGTCAGATTCAGAGTGGCAAATAGTACGTCAGTTCACTAATATCTATGATGTCAAACTTTGTGAATTCTATTTCAGTTTTTACTTTATTTGTAAAGATGTAAACACAAAAATCCAATGACACTCCCATTGAGTAGATTCTAACTTTTGGCAGTTCTCCATCAAGTTTCTGAGGCTATTAATCTTTATGGGAGGGTACTGTCCATATTTCTCCCACAGATCAGTTTGTTCATTCAAATTACCAACCTTTCTGTCAGCAGTGTAGCACGTAACACACTATAACCCAAAACTCCTTCATAGGCATATTTTAAAAAACTAAACTTGTTTGAATTGGTTCCAATTCATTACAATCCTCCTGTGAGTTTACAAAACTAACACATTTCTTACAGAAGGAGACTGGATATTAAATGTATATAAGTTATCATGTACAGATTTTTGTGTACATCTAAGGCTTCATTCACCTAGAATACATGCTCAGTAATACAATTTCTGAGTAATGTGGTATTTTCAAGTTTAATTACATAAGCTAATTTAGTTTATAAGAAGTTTTATAAGAAACTTTTAGTTTGGTTTTATAAGAAACTTTTCCAGAGTATCTGTACTATTTTTTTAACTCCTGTCAGTAATGTGAGTGGTTCAGCTTGTCCTCGTTTTTACCAGCATTTGGTATTGTCATGCATTTTGTGTGTGTTAATTATTCTGACAAGTGTATTATTTTCTTACGTTTGTTTTACATATAATGTCCAGAGTTTTAGTTATACTTATGGCTATTTTAGTCTTTCAGTGGCTGAAATTTTTCCTGGTATTTAATAATTAACTAAATTTGCAAGAGCTTATATGAGAATGATCTTTTCTCAATGGCTAATAGAGGTTTCATGTCCTCACAGGTTGGCTTTTAGAACACTTGTAAGAAAATACAATTGTGATCTATGTTATACACCAATGATAGTTGCTGCTGATTTTGTCAGATCTGTAAAAGCCAGAGACAGCGAATTTACCACAAACCAAGGTATGTGAAAACCAGTTTGCTGGCTTTGTAAACCTTTTTAAGAATGAAAAGAAATTAATCTCTACTACCTTATTTTACCTCACATTACCAAGGTAACATATTTCTGTGGTTTTTATATCACAATCTTTTCATGTTTAGTTCTTATTCTAGGCACACATTCACTTACTGTCCTCTTCAAAACAGAAATGAATCATGCAGTCAGTGTTATTATATTGAGTGCCTTATGAATGTACCAATACAGATCATAGTGTAGCATCTGCCTTTGTTAATAGTTTTTTTCACCCCGATTATTAAAATAGATTACAGTTCATAGTGGCCTTTCTAAATTTGAAAATTTGATCATATCTCTTCCCTGCTTTAAATTCTTAAGTTTCTCATTGCCTAGAGTAGTAGTTCTCAAAGTTTAGTTCCCAGATCAGCATCTATTCAGTCTTCTGGTAACATGTTAGAAATAAGTTTTGGGGCTTCACCTCAAAGAACTATGGTGCTATACCATTGTGTACATCCTCTACATATAATGGTATACTAGCCAATAAAAAGACTAGACATGAGTACATGGCACAGCTGAGATCAGACTTACTGTCGTTAAGTCTGAACCAATTCATAGATGACCCTCCATTGAGTTCTCAAGACTGTAACTGACACTGGAGGAGATTGCCCCAGGGAATCAACAGGAGATTCAAACTACCAAAGAAGTGCTGCCTTTGGGTTGACAGTGCAGCTCACTGTGGACTGTGGTCCCCAAGTCCATTCACCCAGCTAAACCAGAAGAGGAACATCAGGCAGAAGAGTTAGTGTGTTCACATTTGTTTAAATTTTGTAAGTAAATACTTAAAATTGTTCTGGAAGGATACAATAAACTCATTCATGCCTTTAAGAAGAGAAGTTACTAAGAATGAAGGAAAGTTTTCTTTTTGTTTTATATTATTTAAATTGTTATTGAATATAAATTGCTTTTGGTTTAAACTATTTATAATTATTTCAGTGTCATTTAAATAAATCCTTCTTAAGCTAAAAATTGTGCTTTTGTCCTGTTCAATTAGAGCCTAGTATAGTTTTTCTAAGTGTGTGTTTAAATGTCTTCATTTTCTTGTGACTCCTACTGATGAGGTGTTCATTTTGTCAGGTGATTGCCCATTGATTGTCCAGTTTGCTGCTAATGATGCAAGACTTTTATCTGAAGCTGCTCGTATAGCCTATCCCTACTCAAATGGAATAGATATTAACTGTGGTTGCCCTCAGAGGTAAAGCTCAAAGAAGTTGGAGGAATTTCCAAAAATATTAGGAAAAAAAATCTTTGTGAACATGGTAAAATATCTTTCTAGTATTCTGAAACTTAGAAGTGGTGGGGAGGGGGAAGAGTTTAAAGCATGAGGGATACAAATAAGAAACAAGGAAAATTATTTATACACATAACTGCAGAGATCTTTTCTGATACCTGAACCAGTACATAGACCTTGAAGTGTTTGTCTTCCCTCACTAGAATTTTCATGTGTGAATCTTCCTTGAACCTCATCTATAAATATTTATATGAGGATCTAAGGTTTCTAGCAATTCCTGAGATAGATGTATCTTGACTGCCATTTCATGACATCCTGCTCTAAAAGCTGTCATTGTTAAAGTTGAGTGAGGCCCACATTTTTTCTCAATTTCCTTTGTAAGTATACTTTATGAAAACCTTTTCATTCTATACCAATGAACTAAAACCCACTGTCATTGAATCTTAACAGGAGGAAACCGCCTTATTTTTCTCCTGACATACAGTGGTGGGTTCTAACTTTAAATTAGCTGCCCAAGACTTGACCTGCTTGGCCAGTAAGACTTCTTTTTCATTCTAGATGATGGTTCTTTGATTAAGTTTAAGTAACTAGTTGTTGACTAAATATACATATTTTGACAATATATTAGTAACACTGAATTATGTTATCTGTCAGTGATTTTAAATGTTTCTAAAGAATAAAATTGGGATTTTAAGCACAACATAATCCAAATCATATTAGACATATTTGAACACTCATTAGGAAAGTTAATAAGCTGTAAAGACTAAAATGTCTTTTTACTCTTGAAACTAATAAAACCTCTTGTTACGTATAATAAACATCAAATTTGGAATTAAGATAATCTGAAGTAATTAAAATTAATTACAAATTAAATTTATTTTGGTTGAGTGAATTTCCATTTTCTCACTTGCCAGTAAATGCCACTTCCCTGAGTACTTTATAATCTGGGAACATATTTTCTTAATTGCATATTGACACACTTCAAAATGTTAAATCTATCAATTTTAAAATCTGCTTCCATTATAGATTGCTAGGGAGAGAAATAGATATACTTACATTTCATTGTTTCCATTTGGATTTTTATCTTCTCTTCCAGCTATTTACAAATCTCTTCTGGTTTTTTGCTTTATATAGATGGGCAATGGCAGAAGGCTATGGGGCTTGCTTAATAAATAAGCCAGAGCTTATTCAAGATATGGTGAAACAAGTAAGAAATCAAGTGGAAGACCCCAGATTTTCAGTATCTATTAAAATAAGGTAAAGGCAATACTTTCATCTAGTGACAAGATGGACTGTTACAGACAGTCCCTGGGTACATTCCTAAGTGTGTTTACAAGTTAAATTGTAAATAAAAAATCAGGACAAGAGCAAACAGTTCTTAATCTATTTTAGTGTAAAAAAGGAATTTAGATGATGTAGTCCATACTGAGGCTCATTTGGGCTCTGACAGCCCAAATATAAGTAGTTGTATTGCCAACCCAAAGGCACAAGGTTTGAATTCACCAGGTGCTCCATGGGAGAAAGATAAGACATTCTCCTCCCATATGATTTACAGCCTCTGAAAAACTGCTGGACTGTCAGCTATGAGTATCAAGTCCATGGCACACAGCAACAACAGTAACAGCTGTTCATTGTGTGTTACACTGTTAATTAAATGGCCTCACATCTCCAATGGTTCAAATCCACCAGAAGCTCTGAGAAGAAAATTGGAAAGTCTTTTTCCATGGAGGGTTGTTAATAAGTTGGTAACATTATGAGAGTAAGTTTTAGTACAAAAAAAGTTTTCAAATCTTTAAAAGTTGTGCTGTAAAGATGATTACAATGAAGAGTCTTTTGTCAGGAGGGTTCGGTCGGTCCAACCATTTTAAAGTGAGAAGTAACTTACATAACATTAAAGGATAAATAGGAATTGTCCTTAACTTGATGTTCAAAACGGGGGACTCTGTCTACTTAGGAAATACTCTTTTTGTCTAGGTTATTCTTGTTCTTAGGTGCCACTGTGGCAGCTATGACTCATAACGGGCTTATAAACAACAGAGCTGAACCATGCCTAATCCTTGCCATCCTCACTGTTTCTCATATGCCCATTGTGACAGTCACTGGGCCAATCCAGCTTGTTAGGGTCTTCCTGTTTTTTCTAGGTGGAGATGGTTGTTGTGTGCCATCAGGTCAGAACCAGCCTATAGTTGACCCTGTGGTTGGTTTTCAGAGGCAGTTAATTGCATGGGAGTAGATTACTCATCCTTCTCCCATGGAGCAGTTAGTGGATTTGAACCACAGGTCTTTAAGACTACAGCACAGCTTCTTACTATTATGACATCAGAGCTTCCTCTTTACTGTAGCTACTTGTGGTGTACCATAGAGTCGGAACCCACCCATTACTGACACTCCAGTGAGTGTCAATTCAAAGGCAGTTAATCACTCAGGAGGAGATTGCCATCCTTCTCCCACTGAGCAGCTAGTTGCCTCGAACCATGTGCCTTCAAGATTGCAACACAGCTTCTTGCCGGTAGGCCATGCTCCCCTTGCTATAGGTAATAGGAGCTATATAAATTGCTAACTGGTTATAAAGAAATAGTTAGACATTTAGTAAATATAAATATAGCCATAATTTTTATTTATAATACAAAACAGCTTCTTGATATTTTTATCAAATAATAAAATATTCCTTTATTAAAAATTTTTACTAAAAAACTTCTGGTTTTCCATGTACTATTTAATTAATAGGGAGCTCTGGCTGTGACTGACCTAGAGAGTTTCCAAGGCAGTAGTCTGTACAGAAACAGACTACCACATCTTTCTTTTGAAGAATGATTAATGGGTTCACATCACCACCTTTGAGTTCACAGGCAAATTGCTCCATGACACACAAAACCCAAACCTACTGCCAATAAGTTAGATCCAAATTAAAATGACCTTATAAGACAGAGTAGAATTGCCCCTTAAATTTTTGCAAAAGCAGCTTGCCCCATCCTTCTCCTGTGGAGCAATGATGAATTAGAACTTTTGACATTTTGGTTCGTTACTCGATCTTGTATCCACTCTATCATCATGAGTTCTATAAATATTAGAACACCAAAAAATAAAATCTACTGCCAGAGAGTCACTTGCCAACTCATAGGGTTTCTAAGGCTGTAAATCTTTGTGGTTGAGGACTGCCCATCTTTTTTTTTTTTTTGGTTCCCATATTTTATTCAAGGGCTTATATAAAATATTCAAGAGAAATGACTTTTAATCCTCATCTTCCTCCTCTTTTTCATCCTGGTTAATCTGGAAGTAATGTAATTCATAACTCTTTTCTGTTAGCAACTACACGCAACCAATCACGTAGATTATTCTTCAAATATTTTTTGGTGAGATATTTCAAATACCGTTAAGAAAAATGCACTTCAGAGGTTACAGTTATCTTGCTCTTGCTTCTTTCAGTGGTTACAACCCCTCCTCTGAAATTATCAGCTTTTCCATTAACCTTGATTCTTTCTTGAAGAAACGGCTCAAAATTAGCAGCATCCATGATTCCACCTCCTACCGGATGGGTACAATCAAGGGTTAACTTCAGAACCTGCTTTTTTTTTTAACCCCCTTTCGCCACAGGCTTTTTCACAGGTGCCATGGCAGCAGCGAAGTCAGAGAGTTTGGCCTGGTAAGCAGACGCAAAGAGCCTGTCCCATCTTTTATCAGAGTGTGTTTGATAAGTGACATGTTGGTTGAAACTCCATTACTTAAACTACTATGCCCCCAGAACTCCTTTAAATATTAATAACATCATTCATTTAATCTGTGACAGTAATTTTTTTTTATGCCCAAAAGGGTGGTGATTTAGGTATAGTGACACTTACTTGTCTTCCTGTTGCCAAGAGCAAAATCACTAAATTTGATAACTTAAGTGAAAACTGATCCTTGAATATGACCTAAGGGTTGTACAAATTAATAACATGATGTAGGAAAGCTAATCAAATAATGTATTCTATGAAATAACATTTTATATAGTTCATTACCTTGGGATTTGTGTGTGCTGTGAACAGATATAATTTTGAAATTCTAGGATTCATGATGATCTTACAAGAACTGTGGATCTTTGTCGGAAGGCTGAAGCTACTGGAGTTTCTTGGATTACAGTCCATGGAAGAACTGTTGAGGAAAGACACCAGCCAGTCCACTACGATGCCATCAAAATCATTCAAGAAAATATCTCTATACCTTTAATAGCTAACGGAGATATCAAAACCTTAAGAGAAGCAGAAAATATATGGCAAAAAACTGGAACAAGTGGTAAGATATATGCACTTAGAGTTATCTTTTGCATTAGCCAAAACTATGTGGGTGGTAGAAGAGTCATATTAATGTGATGTTTTGTTTTGGGGTTTTTTTGGTGTGTACCATCTAATTTTTTTTAATCTGACTGACACACAAAGAGATTGCCCCTCCTTCTGCAGCAGAACTTCCCGTGGTTTCAAACCATGAGTCTTTGGGATTGCAGTGCAGTTTCTTGCCACTAGGCCACTAGAGCTCCCCCAATGTGATTTTTATTATTTTTTTAAGTCATATTTTCCCCTTCTCCAGCTTAAACAACTTATTGAATGACAATAGCTCTTTCACTTGAAACAGGAACAGTTGATACTGAGTAGATTCAAACTCATGGCATCCCATGTGTGGAGGAGTGATGATAAGCTCCAGAGAATTTATAATGGCCAGGTTTTTGAAAGATTACCTGGCTTTTCTTCTGAAACAATTCTTAAAGGACTCAAACCGCTAACCTCTGGAATTACAACCAATCGGGTTAACCGTTTGTACTGCCCAGAAACTCCTAACAAAGTTGGTTTTTCAAAAGATAAATGAATTCAATTACTTTTCTGCCACCATCATGTCCAGTGACCAGTTAAGACCTTGCTAGATAGCCTAGAATAGAAATGAAACTTATTGAACTCAAGAAGTTCTTATAGGAGCCAGAGGAACCCCAGAACTAGTGTCCAGTTTCATTATCATCTCGAGTTTTTAGCATGCCAAGCCCAATGGTAACTATCAATAGATGAGAGAACCAAATAAACTTAACTTTAAGCAAACCCATTTTCTCCTAAGGAAAAACGAAGAACTAATTATTTCATGTAGAAGTCTTTTAAAAAATACATTCTACATGTAAACTTTGTTAGTATACAAAAAGTACTGAAAGTGTTTAGCAATTGAAAATCATGTGGAGCAGTTCTATTTTACACCCTTGGGGTTAGCTTGAGTCAGAATTGATCGAAGGTTACTAAGAATATTATTGTGTTAAACAGACTAATGCAAGGGAGCTCTGGTGGCCTAAGTGGTAAGGAGCTGTACTGCCAAACCAGAAAGAAGTACACAGTTTTAATCCACCTACTGCCCTGCTATTCTCTGCAAGAGAAAAGGGGGGGGGGGGGAAGTGGGGTTTTACTGCCTTTGAAATCCCACTAGAGGGTCAGTTAGGAGTTGACGGTACCAAACAACAAACAATAATGAGGGTGTTGTGAAACCTTATAGTAATATTGTCTTTTGTTTAATATTCTGATTGATTTCCAGAGGTTCTTAATGTATGGTAAATTGTAACGTGTTTTAATTTGTAGGTGTGATGGTTGCAAGAGGACTCTTAACAAACCCAGCCCTGTTTGCTGGATATGAGGAAACACCACTGACGTGCGTCTGGGACTGGGTTGACATTGCTCTTGAACTCGGAACTCCATTTACGTGTTTCCATCAGCATTTAATGTACATGATGGAAAAGATAACTTCAAGGCAGGAAAAAAGAGTGTTTAATGCTTTGTCAAGCACATCAGCAGTGCTGGATTACCTTACAGACCATTATAGCATCTGACTAAACTTTCTGAATTATTTTGATACCTAGTTCACTTTTATACTTAAAAAGAAACCCACAATCTTGGTTTATCCTTTTTAAATCATTGGTTATTAACCCTTAGAATAAAGATAATTCCCTGAAAAACATCTGAAAAACTCAGTCCTAGACTTTGCGCACCCTGAGTTAGATCTGGAGGAGACCCAGAAACGGGCACATTTAATGAAGAGCCCAGCAGATTTCTAACATCTTGGTCATCCTGTGCCTGTGCACTGGAAACACTGCCCTGAATCCTATTAGGGAATTTTCTTTAAAAGGGGGTGGGTGGGATTTTTCATATAGGAATCATATTTTTAACTTTTAAATAAAGCTTTTGATATGAGAAGATATGATTCATCATATCTATAAAAAGTATATTTTTAATTAAAATAAGTACAGAGACATGGTAGAACAAATGCCAGTATCTATATAAAATGAAACAGATTCATTATAGAATTACAATCAAGGCTTAGATAAAAATCTTGAGTTTGAAAATCAAACAAATCTTTTCTCATTAAATGGCAAACCTCAAACTGTTTTCTAAAGTGCCTCTAACAATTAGACAGTGTTTTCTGTCATTTAAAACCAAAATTACATGAAGCTGTTAAAATGAGTTCTTATAGTATTTCATGTTTTCTAGATCTTTAAAAGAGTAACAACTTGATGACCATGTATGAAATGTTAAAGTTACTTGCAGTCCCCATATTTTAAGCTAGTGGTAAGGAGTTGTGCTACCAACCCAAAGACAGGTGGCTCAGATCCAAGAGTTTCTCCATGAGAGAAAGGATGACAATCTCCTGTGTGATTTAAAGCCTCTGAAAACATACTGGAGGATTGGCAATGAGTCAGTCCTGACTCAAAGGCACATAACATTTTTTTAAGTAAGAAAGTTTGGTAGCTAATCTGGAGATGACTCTACACTTTAAGTAGTTACTTCTGGAGAGTAATAACCAGCTTTTATGTTTTCATTTAAAAATTTTGATACCTTGTTTTAATGATGTTATTTTTATGTCTCCTACCAATTGATGCTAATTTTAAAGTTCAATAATTTGGAAATATTGCTAGTGAATGTGCCATGTAAGATTGAGCTGCTCCATTTTAAACAGGTTCAGCATTAATATTTTGCTCTATATTGCCAACATGTAAACTTTTAGAAAACTGGTAAAATTCAAGAGTTTGGAATTATTCCGTGAATCAGTCACTGTGCTACCATCTTTTTTTAAGGCACCTTCACAGGATTTCACTTTTTTTTTTTTTAATCAAGTTTTGTACCTTTTTATATAAGGGTCACGGAAACCAGTCCTGTGTTCTCTTCAGCTGGTATCACTGAACGGCTGGATTGCACCACAGGTTACACCCCAGTTCAGGGTGAGAGTTTTCTAATAAACCTTTTCTGATGCTAAGACTGCTTCCTTTCCTATTGGCGGAATGACCCCACTCGAGGCTGAGAGAGGAGGCTTTGCATGAACTTGACTTTCTTGGGGGAAATGTCCAAGTTAATATGTTTACCCTGTGCAAGGACATGAGCTCAGGGGAGCAAGTTCAAGCTCCCAAAGAAGTTATTTCTGAGCAACAAGTATGCTCCCTTATCCTTCTGAGCCTGCACTTAGAAAGAGCTATATCCTTAATCCACAGTTTTCAGCACGCCGTGGAGCGGGGCCCCCTCTCTACCACCAGCGGTAGTGGGCCAGCGCCTGGTTGGCCTCAGCCAACTTGTGCATGTCGTGTTTCCTCTTGATCACTGGGCCCTGGTTGTGGGAAGCCTGTAGTAGCTCATGAGACAACTTCACCAGCATCAGTGTCCGCCGGTGCTGCTGCTCCCGGCACTCAGTAATCATCCACTTCATTGCCAGGAAGCGGCGGCGCTGCTCAGCCAGGGTCACGGGGACCTGGTAGAAGTGGCCGCCCTTGAGGATGGGCACCAGTCCGATCACAGGCTCACCGTTTTTCAGGGCCTGGTGGAAAATGGTGTAGGGGTTGCGCTGGATGGATGCCTTTTCCTCTGCAGAAGCAGCATGGTATTTATCAAACTGCTTCCTTTTCACCGCTTCCAGGGTCTGCACTATGAGGTGCCTGGCCAGCACCTTGTTTCCTCCTTTCATCATCAGGTTGGTAAATTTACTTCCCAGCGGGTGCTCAAACACGGAGCAGGTTTTGGTCGCTGGGGCGGCTTTGATGACCTGAGTCTTCCTGAGTTGCCGTTCATACTTTTCCTGCACTGTCAGCTCAGCCACGGCCACGGGGCTTGCGGTGATATTCCTTGTCAGTCTGGGAATTCTGATACTCAGGGCCATAGCGGCTCCACCTCACCTGGGTCAGCCCAGGAAGCTGGGGCACGAGAGCCCATATACCAAGAGCCAGGCCAGACCACCCTCACACAGCGTTCACCGAGGAGGCGACCAGCTTGGCTGGCCTCAGGATTTCACTTTTAAGTCATTTTCTTTTTTTTTTTTTTCATCTTGTTTTTTTTTTTCTATAATTATATTTTATTAATTTT